CCATCGTCATGGCGATGAGTCGTTGATTCGCCGAGTCCGACCCCCACGAGAAGGCGATCCTCCAGCCGTCGCTGAGCCTTCCGTCGCTCGGAGTTGCTGATCCCTTGACCCATCTTCACTCTTCTCTTCCTCCTTAACTTGGTTAGCTGGCACCTATAAAAACAAGCACACACTCCTGTTCCCGGGTCGCGGCACCAGTTGTGGTGTAGTAGAACACACAAATATCGTCAGATGTGGATTCCTTACACAAACCACAACGAATCGCCGAGTTAGGTCGGCGGTTTGTATGGCCTGCGCAGAGGGTGGTCCCCTCGCGGTCCGGCCCTTCCGGGACAGACGAGTGGCTCGCTTCCACCCGGTTCCGACTAACCAAGTCAGATCACTTCCGAGGCTCCGCCGAGTTTGGTTCGGCTGAGCTCGTTCACAACCCTGTGCCCTCCACCAAAGGATGGACGACGGCGCGCGAGCGCTTTTACAGGTCACCGAGCGCAGAGGCAGCTCAGCTAGAAGTGTTACGGCACCCGGGCTATCCGACGTACCGGCCCGCTGAGTATGCGGGACTTTCTTTCGCGCGTAGCGAGACTTTGTCCTACCCGGACCGACTTAATCTCTTGGCGCTACCAGTCAATACCCTACAAGCTATGCCTCTCGAGTATTGACGGCAGGCATAATCCAGCCCTATGCAGGGACTTACCGGAAAAGTGTACACGTGTCTTGGACTAGGAAAATTCTGCTCTGTTATCTTCTGGGAGCCTTTTCGGCTCCTCCTATTTAATCCTATGCTTCTCATACAAATATCTAGTGAAATGTAGTCGTTTCGGATCTCTACCGACTCTTCAGGCGGCCGTTGAGCTCAGCGGCTATCCGGATAGCATATCCGGACAGATCGCCGAGTACTTACCGTGATCCTTGGCTCCTAAGCTCTGGTTTATCAGACCGAGCCGATTCTTGACCTAAAGTAGGTCGGCGTATGGTCGAATCTGGAAATCCCTACACCACATTTCCCTTTAAGACGCGACCTGGTTAGTCACCTACAAAGAAAAACAGTTCAGTGTTAGACGTCATCGCTCAAAAATATATAGCAAAAAAATCGAAAGCATGCCGCCTCATTGTCACTCACGCACCGTCCAATTCAGGATCCGAAGGCACCTCCACACGCTCTGCACGCTCCTTCGCCCGAGTATGAGCGCCGCCTGCTACGTACACCACGTTAGTTAGCTTGTAAACCGCTCTTCTCCATGAGAGTGTGTGCTTTCCTGCAGTTCCTATTGCAAAAAAGAAGCGACTGGATAGCAGGGATTTGTGATGTGGCCCACATAATTAATTTTGCATTTTGCCTTACCTCATTTTACCGATCTCTTGTTAAGGCTCCGAAGTCCGAATAAGAAGTCCGATTGGGAGGACAAAAAAGCATTAAGGCACAATAACTATTGCCAAATGAAGACGTACAGGTTTTTGTGGAGGAGGCTGTCTGTTTTTCCGCCAATCCAACCAGTTGGCAGTTATTGGTTGGTTGAAAAATGTACTAACCAAGCACTTTCTCTTGGTGCATTCCTTTACTATCAAATATTACGTGAATGTACAGTAGTAATTGCCAATTTTGAGCTCACATATTTGAAGCCCCTTCAAAATTAGTTTGGCTCCAACTACATGTATTATAAGCCCGGGCAAAGATGAATACATGTACTGCTTTGTAAGCTGGCATCACTCAATTTTGCCTCCAATTGCAGACGAGTTGTTTTACCAATAGATGATAGCTAGGGAATCCAGGCTATCCATGTTCTTAAAAGTATAGAGTCGCAAATTGAAATTACACGCGCAAATTATTGCGTGCGTACCTTCAGTGCTGGTAAAGACGTCTGTTCAAAGAAAGTTTAAGACGTCCGTTTGTTTGAACATTTTTTTACCGAACGTCTATTCCCCTTTTTACAGACACTCAAAAGACACCTACGGGTAATTACGGGTGCGGTTTTGACTTGAGTTTATTAATACGTTTAATCGGGCAAAGCCCACTAATCGGATTTTTTTACCTGCGTCTGCACACGGAGTCCACTATTCGGTCGCTGACAGTAGTCAATGGTACACGGAACCTTTTGAACAGACGTCTGTTTAGAGATCGATATATCCGGGACACGGCGACGACTCAGAACGCACTTCAAACTCATTTACACGCCGTTTTAGTCCAGTTGGCGCTTGAAGACGCCCCAGTCGCATCGATACATGCGTGACAGCTGGCCGAAGAGAAATACCACGAGGCAGTGGAGCTAAAAGACGAGTTCACTTCTCGTTTGAAAGAATCCTCGTGGCACACTGACGACCTTAGAAGAACTCGCGCTACAAATGGTCAGCCTGAGTTTCAAACACGCAACCTTTACAGCGAGCTACCGATTCCTTGAACCCTGTTTAAAACACTTTAGCCGTGTATGTCCCTATCATCTTGCTCCTAGCTGTCCTCGAGGTTGATGCTCTGGCCGAAGCGGCTGTACAAAACCTTTTTAAGAGCCTACATCCACCAAATAATTATCAGTCTCCTGTTCCTCCACATTGTAGCAATGGAAGGTAGCGTACAGCCTGCCGTGTCTCGAGTTTGGACTCCTCCGCCTGCAGCCTCTTGAGCTCATTGTTGGCCTCCTAAAGGCCAAAAGGAAAGAATTATGCTCAAAACTTTATACTACTATTCGGAATGGCTACATTGCATCCACCTCCACGCGCTTTTCGAGGTACTCCTGGGCAAAATCCTCCGATGCCTCCACGAAGCTCTCCCCAATAAATAGCCTGCCAGTATCAGTATCAGCGTTAGTATTATAGTAGTGCTGTAACAGCCCAGGAGATTGCGATACGCACTGGACGTTGTCGCCCTCGCCCATCATGAGGTCCGTGTTGGCGTCGTCCAGCGTGTCGAGCTTGTCCTTGAGCGCCTTCTTCTGCTCGCGGATTTCGTGCAGCGCCGCGTTGTTGCGGCCAAACTCGTTGATGCGCAGCTGGTCCTCCTTACGGACCTGGCAGACATGTTGATTGTCAGTATTATCAATGAAAGGTGTCCATGGCCTGCGAGGTCACATACGTCCGCCTCCACTTCCTGTTGCTGCGCCAGCATAATGCTCTTTTCGCCTATTGGACCCAGTGGTCCACAGCAAAAATGATACACTTTGAAAGAAAGTGCTTTATTTAAAAAAAAACATTTTTAAAAGTGGATATTGCCTCGAAATCAAATCAAAAGTGAACAGAAAGCAGGGAGCACTTTTTCCTAAAAGGCACTGCTGTCTTTCTGAATCCTATATGAATATTTCAGAAAGTTACATTTTAATATGTTGCCGCAGTTCTTGCGCATCGAAGAGTGAGTTTTCGGGCATCACGGTTGAAAGCGTCGCGGTCGTTTCGGTACGTGGCAATGCACTCGAGCGCGATAACCCGAGGATGACGTGCAGCTTTGGATTTGAAGCTTGCGATGATTGACGTAATGGCAGATCGAGTGTCGACTCCACCTCCCATCAGCATCTCTGCGGTCTCGTCTTCAAACTCGGCGATAAGTTCTTCGTCCGGTGTAGCGAATAGATTTTCGACTTCTTCAAGAAGACGTCGCATACGCCATTCAGAATCCCATCGACGTAGTAAGCCGTAGAGAGACATGGAGCCATTCAGGAGCTTTCAACGAGCGTCTAGGTTAGATGGTGGCTCCTATTTTGGATACGAAGAAATAAAGGCTTCAAGTACATACCGGAACGAAATTGGGGTGATAAATGCGAGTTAAACAGCTGAATACTGGAGGCTCAAACGGGTACTCGTGTCCGAACCTACAAGAGAGTCATTCAGCTAATGATTTTCTCAAAAGCAAGTGACTAAGCTTACCGAACGGAGAATTTAAAGACTCCACCTTCATATGGAGAGCCTGAAGATCCTCGAATGAGTACTTTCCACTCCCAGGCATTTTCTGTTGCCAGTATGAGAATGCATGATAATGCGAGTCATACCAAGGACAATATAAATGCTAACCTTTCACTCCAAATACTTGCGAGTTGGGAGTGGGTTGAGTATTCAAGTCGAGGAGTTCACGACGAATAGCCATTACGTGTTTGGAGTACTGAAGAAAGATTGCCAGCTTGTTTCCGTCTCCGCGTCGAATATCACTCACAAGCTTCAATACAATTTGTTTAAGGTCCGGATGATTCAGTAAAGCAAAAGAGCTAACGTACCCGAACAAACTCAGGATATTCAAGCTCACCCGACCGATTCTCATCGACTTTGTCAATGAGCCCCTGTACCTACTTAAGCCAAACATAATTTCATACGAGTTGAAAGACACTAAGTTCATATTTAAGCTGTGTACCTCTTCAAGAGTGGTTATGATCCCCATCGACTCCATTAGAACAATGAGCTCGGAGGCTGCAATACTGCCGTCGCCACTTGTATCAAAATCTGTAAACTGTAATCGAAAGAGCGTCAGATTGTCGTCAGATACAGCAACCCCCTGTAGTCAAACCTGTTGCTTCATCTGCTCGAGCTCCTCCATTGAGAACTCATGCTTGACGCTCTCGGGAAGTGCAGCTATCCATGATTCAGGCGCACCAACATGGACCTTTACCTTCATCGTTGCTCCATGTACAGCACTGTCGTTAACGATAATAAATGCTGGTGACTTTATTTTTGGGCATTGCCAAAATAAAACTCTTTTTCAAATTGCATGACCTTTTTACACCTGGGAAAGTCACGCATGACAGATCACAAACTTGTTCATTGTCCTACGTTGGGAAAATGTCCGGGATCTGCTCCGTCCACTTGCAAGTTGCAACTTAAAGTGCCTTTTGCAACGCCACGTTCTGGCACGAAGGAAATATCACAACAAACAGCGATTTTGGAACATGGTTGTCTTGAATGAAAGGGTGCACATTAATTAATGCATGAACCTCACAGACAAGGTCTCTCTCATTTAAAGGGCCAAGCTCTACCAAGTTTCGACTCGAAGTTGCCGTCGTTCATGGGCACGTTCGCTTTACCGAAGCCTGTCCTGCTCAGTCCCTCCCGAGCCGCATCGGTCATCTGTCCCCACATAATAAGGTCCTGGTAGTCACCGCCCTCGCCTGTGCTTTCCAGAGCGTGGTTGATGGGCCACTTACTCAGGTATTTAACCTTGACACTGGTGCCCTCCACTTTATTGGCATCCGGAGGAACTTGCGCTGAGTATCCACCGTGTGCTGAAGGACTAACAGCAAGGATCTTTGGCTCAGCGAGCTCGGGGTTATCGATCCACACGATCACGTGTTCCCAGTCGTGACGATGACCCAGACCGGTAGATGGCGAGTCCTTGGGGAAGTACCACGAGTACATGATGGCCCAGACGCCATTGTACCACGTTGACCGTCCGTAGACCTGGGAACCCCAGCCAGAACCCTTACAACCGGCACTAGGAGCACCGCTCGTCTTGAGACCGCCACTAGTCTGTCCAATTGCGTTCACTGCAGGGTACGGATGACACCCGCCGGTGATGTGAAGCTGGGGTTTAAACTTCACGGCAGCTTTTTCCGAAATCGTGACAGGCTCCGTTTGTTTGAACGGCACCACCGCATCGTGGTCGATGATCTTTTCCACCCACGGGGTCGGTGCCGGCGTGGGTGCCCCTGGTGCCGGCGTGATAGGCACAATACTCGTCCAAATTGCACCCAAAAGATCGATTTCATCGCCGTCACGACCAAAGAACCCTCCGAGCTGAAAGCCCTCGGGGGCTTTAATCGTGGCTTTACTGTCAGTCCAGGACCCACCCGCCACCGAGTTCCCCGCACTCGTCTCGAACCGCAAGTAGAAAATACGAGTGTGACCTTTCTTCTCCCCCCAATGAGCTTCCATGGACGTAATATACTCACCGGCAGCAAGTGTTAAAGTGTTCGGATTTCCTCCACCGCCACCGTGGTTCAGTGTCATTGGTACAGGTGCAGTGATATCGAGGATAACGCCATCGACACGCTTACCTGCCCGGATGGTAATGGACGCAACTGTTTGTCCCGAAGTTGCTGCCACTTCATCCGAGAACTCGTTTCCGTGAGGGCCACCGAAACTTTTACTTAGTTGCACTGAATCCTCCACCGAGATGGGAGGGGACGTTGGCGTAGGAGCTGGTGTCGGTGCAGGTGTCGGCGCTGAAGCTGCCGATGACGCCGATGACGACTCAATTAATGTTTCCGACGAGCTACCGCTCTTCTCGGTGGTCGCAGACTCGTCCGATGCTGAAGCGGAGTCGAAATCAGAGTCACCGACTAAAACTTCATCCCAGGAGCCACTTGCGCTCATGGAAGCGCCCAAGTCATGCGACCCTGACGTTGAGCCGAGCAGGCTATCCGAGGCATCACCAGCATTACTCGTTGATGTTTGTTGTTGCTCTTCTTGGGTCTCGTTCAGTGACGTGAGCTTAGCTTTGTTCACCTCAAGCTGCCGTGCCTGAGTCGTGGCGAGACTCACGATTGCGACACGAAGTAGGACGCTTAGCTTCATCGCTAGCGTTACGCTCTCGTGTTGTGGGTGTCGAGCTGAAAACTGAACGAGGCTTTCTCGCTACAGTAGCAAAGCACGGGAGCGAAGCACGGCAACCGTAAATCTGCGTTGGCAATATGGGCACGATTGCGAACGCAAATCTACCCGTGAGTCACGGACCTTTATGTACCTTGTCTGCACGCGTTATCGCGGCGAACTAAGGGAATCTGGGGGATTGCACTTCTGATGTGTTGTCTAACCGGTTGATACAGAAGGTATTAATACATGTACCTTGCGCGGGCAGTTAAACCCCGGTCAATACCCAGCCTAGCTCAAACGTCTTCAGTTTCTGACGTTGTATCCATAGTAGGGAAGATAATCACACCACGCTCTAATCCGCGAGTTCTGCTGGCAATTGTAGCTCACTCTACATATTCATCGTGCGTCTTGGACTTTGTTATTAATAAGCAAATTCCAAACCGACAAAAATATGGGATAGGCTTCGTTGTGTATTTTATTTTGTTCTCGTTGTCCTCTATGTACAAGTGTCGGTGCTGCAAGCGGACGGCGGGAGCTATAGGGTTGCTTACTCCATTCCCTGTACTTACCTTAAGGTACCAGTGCGGGCAGTGGAAAGATACGACGTCTTTACAATGGACATGTTTAAACAGTGTTTAAAGTGTCCATTGTCTTTTGATTCAAAAGTTTTGAAGGGGGCATGGTAAAAAAGTTATTATAATACAATTGGTTGGTGTATACGGTTGGAATAGTCTACTATTACACAAGAAACATTAAAATAAATAGTACAGCATCAGATAAGGAAATGAAATCACAAGCGTGAGGTCTTACAAAAAGTGAGATAAAAATGTTATAAGAATTGTATGGTTTGCACGGAATTAATCTTTTGGGCTGTAAATATTATGGTGATTATATTGATTCCGACAGTCTTCCAATACAAATTACTGAGTTCAACTAATAATGAGGCTCAGGGTTTTCCAGTTCTCTGGATATTCATATCCAGAGTTTTAGGGGAGTAAAGACCGCTTTGTTTTGACGTCAAGAAATAAGTAACGATCGAAAACGTCGACGATCCTCTATAAAATATTAGGGTGCTACATTTGTAATTACTAAAAGTATAGTGGCTTGCAAGTGATAGGCTAAAAGGACGGAATACCTAATAAACTACGGTAAAGCATAAAAAGCACTGGTGATAGTCGTTCCAAGCCGCCTGGGTCAACATTCACGCTATCTGGTTTTAGGTGGATGTTGCTCCAATATACAATACCATTGTCGGTGGTCCACCGATGGTGGGTGGTACAGTACATGAAGGCTACATGATTTAAAGAAGGGAATAGATGAATACTAATAGGATTCCTAGCGAGGCCGTCTCGCGTCAAGACGGCAAGGTCGGACGACAACGCACGTTCGACCGCGGCTTCTTCATTTTGGCTAAACTGTATCCTCATACACATCAACCTTACGACGTAACGCGTAAGTAAGCCCCCCCTCCCTCTCACACACACACTTACACACACGCACGCACACACACACACACACACACATCACACACATCAGAGGAAGAAAACGAATTACCACGTCGGGTATTTCAAAGGGAGGACTGACAGTAGAAAAAATGATTATTGCTCCGCTTCGTCATCCGACTCGCAGGATTCCTCAGCGTTCATTTTTCTATGTCGCCGTCACTCAAATGAAAACGTTATCGCAGCTGTATCTCATGGCCCCCCTTACGAAAAAGTTTTTGGAGTATTTTACTCCAAGTCGTGATGCGCTGGCAGAAACCCAAAGACTTCATGCAATTGAGGATCGAGCAGATTAAGACACCATAATGCTGTGGAGAAATTGTTACAGGTCTTCTTAAAAAAAAGTACATGTACTTTCTTAAGTTAGGGTAACAACTTGTTTTTAAGTTTTCGAAGTTCGGGGATAGCCACTCAAATGAATGACTTTCATTCTCGCTCGATTTGTTGATGTCTTCTTCTAGACTGGAAGTCTTAGTTAAATTGCAATTCTTCTCCTTTTTTTCTTCTAAAAAGTCCTTCATTCCGCACTAGTTATTACTTTTTGAAAGTACCGTAATATCCAGAGCTTCACCGGGCTTAGCACGGCATTAGTCGGAATTGTGAAAAAATAACATTCAGCATCTCAATCGACTGTACAGTGTACAGTTGGATTGCAGATGTTTGTTGAAGTAAGAACGTTTTAGAGGCCAGAATACGCCCAATGTTGGACGGCCGGGACAATAGTAGGAGTGCGATAGCTTAATAGATGCACTAGACAAGGAATACTACGTGGGGTTCTCGCTCTGCTCTGATAAAACCCCGAAGAGTATCGCTCTTATCAGCGGCATAATAAAATAGCCTGGCTCAACGTTCAAGGACTAGTACAATACGGTATTGAACTATACGACCGTGGCACGAGAGGCGGCAGTATTAGGCTGAATACTGTACTTTAAGCAAAAATACTTGCTTTTCCCGTCTCTACTTCATATAAACTCAGAAAACAAAATAAATTGGGTTTGTTTAGGGGTCACACTCTCGTACGATTGTATTTTGGTGCATCCAATATAGTTCTAAAGACATTAATTTGTGTGCTCAATTTTCAGGTCGCCGAACAGCCTTCAAGTCACAACTCATGCACCTCCGTGGTGGTGACAAAGTCCAACTTAGCTCGTCATCGGTACTTAAATGTACTGAGGCTATTGCAGCCAAAGCCGCTGTCACCACCAAGCCAATACCTCGGGTGAGGGGGTCGAAATGGTGTCTATCTCAGTTTGACGCCGAAAAAGGGTATCACTCACTAGCCAATTTGGTTCCTCAACGAGCCCCTCGATCCACTCTCGCGTCTGAAATCAATACCGCGAGGACTATCGAGGAGCTCATCAGCTTCAGCTCGTGCAAGGATCTAAGCTGCCGTACGGGCGATTTCCTCACCAAATTTAATTTTCTGGTAGGAAACGGGCGGTCTTCTATGAGCTTTGCCCGAGAAAAATAGCTCAAAGTCGAGCAGCAGGACACTGTGGGCAAGATTGTGGGTCGGGAAAAACTAAGCGTATTTATGCAGTTTATGGACAAGCGCAAGGGTAGTGACACAGTAGCTGCTATCAATCGCTACAAACAGCTTCAGCCTCTAAGCCTTTTGCTGGTATTCTAGGTGGAGAACAAGGCGCTCACAAGCTGGAAGGCCTTCTCAAGCTTGATCGCACCACCACGATTTTGACGTCGAAGGATAAATCTTGGGATAGAAAACTGAAAGAAAAAGTAACGGGCTGCAGGGCTACCAGATGGCGAGGCATTTGTGGAGTGACCAAGTGGTCATTTGAAAAGCGCTTTCAAACGTCAGGTATCCCGCTTTTATCGACGGGAATGTTTTGCGTGCAGCGACGAAGGATTCGAGATGGAAACGTTTGTCGCTGCACGCAAAACATTCTTGCTCTACTGTTGATTGCAGCACCTCCGCAACGTCTCCGGCTTCTCCCCGGAATGGATATCTCAAACACCATGAAAGATTCTGGGGGTTGTACAGCTGTTTGATTCCGGAGCACAAGACTACTCATTTGTTCCGCGATTTTGTTCATCCCATAGCACTTCTTGAAGGAAGTCGACAATTTCAAGTTGCTTCGCCGGAAGCTGCTGAAGGTGCAGTACATACGGACCATGGATTGCGGCGTTTTAAGGAAATGAGTTATTTTTATTGCTACTGATGGTCGCACAGAGCGACACCTGACACGAATTCTCGAAGAACTTGTCCATGACAAGTTTTGCCAAGCACATGGCCATGCGCAGCTGCCGAATTATATACATTACCTACGTGGCTCACCATGCCAAGGGTGTGAAGGAGATGTATGAGCTTTCACGGCTTCCAACGCTAAGTCAATGCGATGCTGTCCTCGTACCTCTCATTTTAAGTTAGCAGATACTTCTCTTCGGCATAAATGTCCTTCAAACGACCAAGAGCCTCTAGACTTCCCTGTGAAACTTGATCCAGCGTAACATCGTCGTATATCACAGACTTGCTGTGCAGTGTCAGAGCCTGGGAGATGAACTCTTCTCGCTCACTCACAGTCGCCAACCTAGGGACCTCACAAGCGTCTGAGGGTGCTTTCAAGAAGTGTGTGTGGCTATTATGTGCAGGCGCTAGCAGTTCAGGGTACGCAACTGCACGCACGCCACCGACTTGTACGTACTGAGCATGTGAACTGTCGAGAGCACAGAGAAGGCAGCCACAACATTTAAATTGTTGGCTCCAGTCCACTAGGAGATGAAGATCTCCAGTTTGTGCAAAAGATCGACGACGCGATCCCTTGAGGGCCCGTCTTGGCCGTCACATCGGCCAGATTTTCTCTAATTACAAACGAGTTGTGAAAACCTGCACGTGTTGCACTAGCACTCAGCCACGCCACATTCTTCGCTACATTGGTCAATGATGCAATCACCAGGAAACTGCCCGGTGCCAAAGGTGTTAAGATCTCTCCAAGCACAGCTACATCCAGAGCTACGGACGACGTAATGCGCCATCTGCGTCGTAGCGATTGTTGATGATAGTGGCGAATAACACACCTCCGAACTGCCCCAGCCCGTCTCTGAGTACCCGGTTCACTGCTGCGGCTGTGGGGATCGCCCCAGCTACCAGACCAGCATCATACAGCAGTGACTGCATCGATAGCACACCGGTAGGACAGGAAGCTACGGAGCCCACGAAGCTCCACTTGGCGTAAGGGAAATAGTCTTTAGTTACGGAGGTATGCGCGTTTTTGGGCAGGAGTAAGGCCCAGAGCACATTGTAATGCCAGGAGATCGTGCGCTGCGTCGCTGCGAGGCTATGGAGCCCGTCTGCCTTATGGCACCACTGTCTCAGCGCTCCTCTAGTCTTTTCCACTTGAAATTTGTCGACTTGATATTGGCTGGGAGAACGCGGTAGATGGTGCGTCCTCGCGCAAACCCGTTATCTTGCGAGGCGGTGGGCACTGAAGAGGTTGAGGAAGAGGGGTTGAGTGGAGGGCGCCAAGTGGACGTATCAATGGAGCACGGACACAACACCCATGTAGGGAGCGGAAAGCCACCCGCATCATTTTGCTTTGCTGCGCTTCGAGTGACGGCATCCGATTGGTCAGATTAAACAACCGACTTCAACTTAATGATATGGCTTCATCAAACGGCATAGAGCTCTCAAGTACTTGTCTTGGATACTTGCGCGGCGTTCACTGCGCTGCCTTGCCTCGATTACGGATACGCCAGCACATGGCTTTTGTGACGGGTCACACAGCACCTTGCGCGAGAGGAAGTTGGCTTCCGACAGTATACAAACTCTCAGTGAACGGCATTTCACAGGTCCCCTTTTTACCTAAAGGGAACTAAGTGACCAATTTAAGGTAGGTTGTAAACTGAGTATATTTATAGGTATACTAAGCATGAGCTAAATATACAAACTAGAAGTCACCTATATAAAAGCAATGTCATCAGCGAATGGTTGGCTTCGGACGACCCTGGTACCATGTACCAGATATCCCGAAGTATATCGTGTCACACTTCATGTAACCAGGGGTACAATTAGGGCTACGTACCCCGTTACATCCTCCTCCACTTAGGCTCGGTTTACCGACCAAGCAGAATGGAGAAGCGTATGTCACAAACTTTCATTCTCAAAGTCGAAATACATCGACTCGGCTGCGCGAGCGCGGCGGAGGCTCACTTCACAGTTAGAGTCTCGAGCAGCGATTGAGTGCTCTTCTTCTTGGTCTCCATATCGACCGTTATCATGCCCCGTGGCACTGCGAAGAGTAGTGCGAAGACACGCTCCAGGGCTGCTGCCAGAAAGGCGCAAGCCAAGAGCACTAAGCCTCACGGCAAAGGCTCGGCATTCCAGGAGGCTACTAAGGTGGCCTCGGAGGCGATCGGCTCAACACGTGACGCGGATGTGAGCAAGCGTAATAGCAAACGCCGCAGTCCGTCACCCTCGGCCTCCCCAGACAGCCGTTCGAACCCTCGGCTCGCTGAACGTGAGTTCGACTCAGGCAGTGAGGACGAAGCTGATTTCGGGAGCACTCACGATGCTCCTGCTCCGTGGGAGGGCACAGCCCAGTGCCCAGCGAGCACAAGGACGGCAGCGTGCAGTCGCTCGCTAGTGATCACGGTGATCACAGTCCCAGGACGTCTGTACGCTATGAGAGTCCGGCCGTCAAGGCTAAGGGCACTCTCAATGTTGGTGGGGACGAGGAAGAGAGACCTCGCAAACGTCTCTCGCTTGCCAAGGGTCTTGCGCGTGCTAAGGCCTCTAAAGCCGAATCCGCCAAGCCCTCTGAGAAGCGTACGGCTTCGAAGTCTCCACTCCGCGAGGAGAAGGAGACTGAGTACTCCCATCGGGGCCTCTACGATTCGTCGGATGAAGAGGACGAGAAGGAGGGGTGATATTCCTGAGCCCCAGGGGATCACTAACGACCTCGACCAGCAGCAGGAGGACTTCCAAGCTGCCCAGCGTGCGCGTGGGGGTTCGGTGGTGGCACCCGTCAGCCAGAGAGCTGCCATCAACTAAAGGGGGATTGGCCTCCCGAGGAGAGCTCTGAGGCTGACCTCTTCCTAGAGATTCTCGTCGCTCCTCGTGGCCTTGTTGGAGGCCACATTTTTAAGGGCGTTTACGAGCGTACACGAGTCCAGACGGAGCACCTGTTTGTCGACAGCTTGGAGGCGGTTCGGTGCGTGCTTCTCGCGCCGCACCGAATCCATTTTAAGGACTTCACGACTTCTCGTAAGAAGCCCGAGAACCGGGGTGGTCTCTACTTTCTCTGGGGCTATCCCTGGACTCTTCATGAGAGATGTCCCAGCTGGAACTCATGTGAGGACATCTTCTGGGCTTGGGTGGAGTCTATCATATACTCACCCTCGGAGTTACGGGAACTCCATGAAGATCAGCTAATGTCCCGCATCCTGGACCAGCGTGATCTTCGTGTCCTTCGCCCACTTGGTCAGCAAGTGCATGCTGCCAAGGGACATTCTCAAGCGCGCGCGGCTTCTAGCGCTCACGATGAGCGCGGGTGCTGAGTGTCGTCAACGTCCGTACCCCGTTCGAAAAGAAGCCCCGGACTACTTATAAAGCTGCCGCCGCTTCTGTTCCCAGATTGCGACAGCCTTTGGGCAGTCAATCAGGAGCCGTTGAATCGGCTCCCACGATCTCTCGGAGTGAGCATAACCCCTCCACTTCACGAGGAGTTGTCGCTTACCGCGACAAAGTTTCTCCTGGGGAATCCGCTCCATGTGGTAGTGGACTTCTCAATTCCAGTCAAGCAGGGGCGGAGGTGTCCTTGTACGAGTACGAGTACTCAGCGCCTCCCAAGCGCTTCTCCTGCGGGTCCGACGCAGGGCCCTGAGGTTGACCGCCTTCGTCAACGCGTTCTCGTGCTTGGTATTGCACTTGACCTTGGGACTAGCGAGGATGCTGTCGCTCAGGCCGGGAATCAGGGCGAGATCGCTCGTCTTGCGGGCCGCCTGGACCTGTTGGAGCGTGAGGTCTCGAACCTGCATCTGCGGGCGGACCGGCGGGTCTCTTCGTCCGATTTTGACGAGGCCTTCCGCATGATCCGACGTATCGAAACTCTGCTGTCACGTCCGGGGCCGCATTCAGCGCACTCCTGGTCGTGCGCGAACAGTGCGTACCCGACGTACTTGACGTACTCGGCGAATGGCTCCGGGGTCCGTTCGTACGGGGCCCCTCCGAGGTACGGTCTTGACCGCAGCCTTGCTGTTCCGCCCGAGGCTTGGGTGTCTGCTCCGACGCCCTCGTCGACTTCTGTGGCCGGCCCTCGCTTCGAGAAGCTGGGCCAAGGTGGGTCTGCGAGTCAGCAACCCCCTTCGGATCATTGTACCGCTTAAGACGTCTTCCACTTGTTTCCGCAGCGAAACTGTCTCACATCTGAGACCTGGGAGGAAAGCGCTTTCCGAGCCCCCCCCCCACTTAGAATAGAGGATTCAGTGTCTATTCGAAGAGTGAGAGGCACTCTGGGGTGATGGAAGCTGTTCATGTAGAATGGCGTGAACCCCATGGACGCGTGCACCGCGTTGCTGAGCGCAAACTCAACAACTGGAAGCTGCGTCGACCTCGTACGTGGTGCTTCCGCGCACACACTGCGCAGAGTGTCCTCGAGCACTCGATTGGCGCGATATGTCTGGCCGCCTGTCTGTGGATGGTCCGTAGTGGACATCTGCAGATGAGTTCCCAATAAAGGAAATAGCGTTTTTCAAATTGCAGCCGTGAACCGCGGGTCTCGGTCCGAGGCAATCGTCTCTGGGAGATCTTGTGGCGGGACACGCCATTGACGAACAACCTCGCGGTTTGTTCTCCTGTGACGGTAACGGGCACTGGGGCGAGATGTACCATCTTGCTCAGCCGACACATGAAAGCCAAAATTCCGGTGTTGCCGTGTCCGTCGGCGGGAAATTCAAAGATGAAGTCAAGACTCATCGACTTCCAACAGTCAGCCGGAACGGTCAGGTTCTGTAGTGGAGCCGAATCGTGCCCTGCGGGTTTGACCCGCTGACATGTTTCCCATGTCTTCACGTATCGGGCAGCCCACTTGTACATGTGGGCCCGCCAGAAAGCCTGATAGACCGACAGGAAGGTCTTCTCGCGACCCAAGTGGCCGCCGGAAGGCTCGTCGTGCGCCTCCGCGAGGATGTCGAGCTTCATATCCGTGTCGTTGGGTACGACCACCCGTGGAGGTTCATTGGGATCCACCCGGTAATAGAGGAGGCCATCCTTCAACTCAAATCGGTGGAGCCGGGAGCGCTGTCGCGACGAAAGCCAGTCGGACTTCGCGCTCGTTCCTGCCGTGAGGAACTTGAAGATAGGCGCGACAGCCTCATTGTCCCGATACGCCATACGTATCCTATCATATAAATCCGTTGTCACCCTGTGTGGACGCCGAGAGAGGTCGTCCACAAGCACGTTGAGCTTGCCCGGTTTGTACTTGACGCAGAAGTTGTACTCTGCGAAGAAGGACAGCCACCTCGCCATCCGTTGGGAGAGGTGAGGCGAATTGGTCGTCGTCCTCAAGGATGCGTGGTCTGTGTAGATCACGAAGGGCTGGGGGCCCAGAAGGTGAGCACGAAACTTCACAAGGATATGCTTCATTGCCAGGAGCTCCTTGTCGTGGACAGGGTAGTTTCGTTCGGCGGCTTTGAGCTGCCTGGACTGGAACGAGATGACCCGCTCATGTCCAGCAGTGTCGGCCTGCAGCAGTGCACATCCGATGACATAGTCGGAGGCATCGCAGACGACACTAAACGACTTCGTCTCGTCCGACAGGACCAGGACAGGGTCCTCTTGGAGACTGGCCTTGATGCTGTCAAAGGCATCCTGGTGCTCTTGCTCCCAGCGCCAGTCAGCGTCCTTATGAAGGAGGCCCGACAAGGGCTTAACGAAGCTCGCGTTCCCTGCGCTGTGCTTGTGAAGGTAGTTGACCAAGGCCAACCACTTTCGAAGATCCTTCTGGGATCATGGCGTTGGCCATGCTGCTGTGGCCTTGACCTTGTCTGGGTCAGCCCGAACGCTCACGTGGCTGACGAAGCAACCGAGAACATTGATCTCTGGTGACGCGAAGACGCACTTGTCAATGTTGGCGTTGCGTTTGTTTGGTCGCATCAAGTCCGGAGGTGCCTTAGATGCACCTCCATGGCCGTCTTGCCTCCCTCGGCACGGATATGGACGAAGATGTCGTCGAAGTACGTCTGTATGAAGGCGCTCAGTGGCCTGAACAATTGCGTCACCAGGCGGTTGAGCGTCGTTGGGGCATTAGACAAGCCCTGCGGCATGACGTGTCACACCCAAAGCATGCCGCTTGGGGTGCTCACCGCGGTGAGCGGGATGTCGCTCTCTCCCATCAGGATCTGGTAGTATCCGTCTACCAAATCCAGCGCACTGTACAGTACGCTTCCGGCCATGTCGTCTAGCAACACATCCTTTCGTGAAATTGGTGTTTGGGCCGGCACCGTCGCGCTGTTCAGCTTGTTATAAGAATGAACTAGACGCCACTTTCCGTCCGGCTTCCGAACGCAGAAAGTTGGCGTCGAGTGCGGGGACTTCGACTCCCGCCCCATGCCTGCCTTCGCTTTTGCAGCGAAAAAGGCATCGATGACCTCGCACTGCTCGCGTGGAAGAGGCCATTGTCTCGTGACACAGTACTTTGTGCCAGGCACGAGATCGATCGCATGCCGTACGCCTCGATCTGGTGAGAGCTGGGTCGGTGGGTGTTTGTTCACCACGTCCGCATACTCCGTCACAAAGGCTACACCGGATCCTTGGGGTTCTTAAAGATCTCGGAGCCCAAGCGCGTCTGACGCTGCTTGTTCAGGTCTTCCAGGACGTCCTCGTCCAAGACAGAGGAGGAGTTCAGTTCCTCCCGAGTGGTATCAGGTCCTACGAACACCATCTCGGCAACCTTCCCAACTATGAGGTTGGTCAGACAAGACTCGATCGTCATTTCCTCGAGGGACAGTATCTCTGCAACCTCTGGCAACGGCTTTAAGTGAACACCAGATGTCTTGACGAGTAAACCGGTCTCGCCATCGAAGACGTGATAACACTCTTCCACCGGCCGTGTCGAAGGAGCCCGGGCCCTGGACACCGAGTCGCTTGAAGCGACGTCGATCTGAACGAGGCTCAGGTCCGACTTGTGGCGGCGGCGGCGTCGTCGTCGACGGCGACCGTGACGTGGAACGTTTTTACCCACGTCCGGGGATGTCGGAGCGCTGACATCCGAGGCACTCAAGGCCTCGTGTGGTACTGTGTTACCCACACATGAAGCGTGTCCGACGTCTTCCTCTTCAGTTAAGGTCTGGGCGACCGCGTGTGGCACTATGTTACCCACACAGGAAGCGTATCCGGCATCTTCCTTTTCAGTTAAGGTCTGGGCGACCGTGCGTGGAACTCTGTTATCCACCTTGAACACGCTATTACCGTTCGTGACAGCCACAGCTGTCTGCGGAACTATGTTACCCGCTTGTAGACCTAAGTTACCCACTTGACCAGCGCCTCCTCTGGGCGCCGCCACCATCGAAGCGTCCTTGGAGTCGTCATATACGTCGACGACTCCCAAGCATCTGCTGGATGTTTGGTACCCTGGCAACCCTTGCGGGCGCCCCGGGTCCTGACAGAGGTGGGAAAATGACTCACCAATGCTCTGTCGGAATTTGCAGCGCGGCTGGCACCGATTGCCTTGCCTCGCATGTCTATCCAGGGCTCGTGCTTCTCGAGCCAGGGCATGCCCAGGATAATATCGTAGGGATCCATGTCGATAATAGTAAACTGTTCGAGGCTGTCAAAGTCTTCAAACTTGACGGCCTGATCCACTTGGACGTTGGGGACAGTGACGACCTTCCCGTCGGCCAGTCGCACTGACACCGTCCCGTTGTCCTTGCTTTCTCTCAAAGCATCGGACAACAGGTTAATATTACGAGCAACTGTCTGGCGGCGTGCGAAATTCTTCGACACCCCAGAATCGATCAAGATTCTAAAGGGGTGATCGTTATCCCCGTACACATCCGTGTACTACGAGCAACCCGCCGCTTCTCTTCGCCGATTCGAAAGTGCAAAGACTCTCAGGGGATAAGTCTCCGTGGTACGCGCCACCCGCGCAGCCTTCACGAATACTTAGTTCTTCCCCAGTAGGGCACCCCGCCCCTACTGGTCTCCGGCGTTCCCCTGTCCCCGGGATCCTGGCTTCTGCCAGCGACCCTTGAGGGCTTGGAGAAAGATCGCCTGCGGAGTCTTTCTGCGGGGCAGTCGCGTATGAAGTGGCCCATCTTCCGCCGCCAAAGCAGTGAATATCGCGCTGCTCGGCGGACCCGAGTTCTATGGGAACTGGTCCGTTGGGGGTTGCTCGACCGGGATTCGACAAAGAGTTCCCAGGCCATGCCGAGGCCGGCGTGCGCGCCTGGAGATGGCTGTATTCTTCCTGAAGAGCCACTTGAATCGCCTCTTCGAGGGTGCTTGACTGCACCCGGATCCGCTGAGTGCGCGCTGGGCCCTGTCCATGAGCACAGTCATCTTGACGTGTTCGTTGAGTAAATTTCATACTAGGAACGCCGTGAGCTCCCGTATCTCTTGGACGTACTCGTGCAGCTCGCGCCTTCCTTGATTGCATGAGAGGAAGCGCGAGCGCTGGTGGTACTCGTAGTTCGCCGGGAGGAACGCGGATCGACCTGTTTGCACAGCTGAGCCCAGGATGTGAAAATCCAGGGGATGTTGCCTTTCGCGTGTACACCCAACGCTTAGCACGACCGCTAAGGTTGGAGAGTCAAAAGCAACACGAAGTTGCTCGGTCGAGATCAGAGCCGCGTCCATCGCGACCTCTACCTCTCGGACCCAGAAGTGAAGGTTCTCACCTTCCTCCCCTTCATACGGCTTAACCTTCAGCCGTATTGGCCTCGGGTGTGGCGGATTTGTCTCCCCCGCCGGAGCCTGCAGGATCTCCCGCACATGTGCGATGAGCCCCTGCTGGAAAGCGTCAAACGCATTGACGCGCTCGAGCTGCTCGGCCGGTGTTGACGCCACCAGGCTTTGCAGGCCTCCATCCCGAAGATGCCAGCCATCTTCCGAACCGACTCGAACTGTGAGTCGTTCAGATGGGAGAAGTCGTACGTATCCATGGCAACGAACTTCAGAGAGGTTCAGGTAGTCTACCCGCGCTGGCGTGGATTGACTACGAGTGCTACCAAGTGTGACGGGGTTACACAGCACCTTGCGCTAGAGGAAGTTGGCTTCCGACAGTATACAAACTCTCAGTGAACGGCAGTTCACAGGTCCCCTTTTTACCTAAAGGGAACGAAGTGACCAATTTAAGGTAGGTTGTAAGCTGAGTATATTTATTTTAGGGTAGGCTAAGCTTGAGTTAAATAAAGAAACTATTATTATATTATAATATAAGTCACCTTTAGAAAAGCAATGTTCGGACGACCCTGGTACCATGCACCAGATATCCAAAGTATGACGTGTCACACTTCATGTAACTAAGGGTACGTTTAGGGCTACGTACCCCGTTACATCTTTCCAATCATTATTTTAATGTGCTAGATGTTAGCAAGCCTTACAGTTGTTGTCAGGCCGCACTCTCGAAATAGTTTGGAGCCCGTGCCATCTGAGTCTGGCCACCCTCGGGTTATAAGATACGAATAATGCCATGAAGCTGGTGCCTTCATCCTCTTGCATTGGCACTGAAGATCGTGCCGGGCGAAATAGCATAGGCACGCGAGGGAAAGCAACACGTCAGTTAACACAGCCAGTGCGGCAGCGTCAGCGACATATCTCCATCATGTCGACGACGATTGCGACTTTGCTTGCTACGGTGTAGCAAGTTGAAAGCTGCGCGTACAACTTCAATGCAAAGTCAGATCACCAGATTTTTTTTGGCCAAGCAGCCGCTCGTAGGCATTTTTGATTATGAAAACACCGTGAAAAAAAGAGCGACAGTTTTTTTGAGATAAGACCGCATGGAAATGTACCCTGACATTCATCGAATCTCATCAAAATCCCGTGGAGACCTTCACCTCTCTTATGATACATCATCAAACATGATAGCTTCCAGGATTCCACGGCATCAAAGAGAAGACCTGCACATTTCTCTATCAACCTCGAAGTGATCACATCAATATTAACATGCTCGCTTGCCTAGCGACCAGCACTCCGTCGCCTCTGCGGCTGCAGGCGCCAGTAGACGAGCAGAGCCACCAGCTCCAGAAGGGCCCGTACTCGATCATCAAGGAGCTCGGCTCAGGTCTCCACGGCCGCGTGCTCCTAGCCTACGACGACCGACTACAACGCGACGTGGTCGTTAAGCTCCCGGCTGCGCTGACAGTTAATGCACTCACGACGGACCGCGTGAACGTGGACGAGTTAGAGCACCAGGTGACGTCTATTGTGCACGAATGCAACGCTATGCGTCGCGTACAGCACCTCAACGTCTTACAGATCGACCGATTAGTGTCCGGCAAGAAGGGTGACTACGACTATGTGGCCATGGTGACCGAGTTCACACCGCATGGAGACATGTTCGACCTGTTGGAGGTCGGTGGTGCTCTTCCGGAACCTCTGGTGAAAGTATACGCATGCCAATTACTGCGGGCATTGGAGGCTTGCCATGCCAACGGAGTCGTGCACCGAGACGTCAAGCCCGAGAACTTGCTATTGGATGCCAATTATCAACTCAAACTCGCGGATTTTGGTGTCGCAGCAACGGCACCTGTGGGCGCTGATGCGACTGAGATTTTCTCACGAGACGAGAGCGGGACGGCGTTGTATATGGCTCCAGAGATCAAGTCGAGACGGATGTACCGTGGTACTCCAGTGGATGTTTGGTCTGCTGGCGTGGTGCTGTTTATCTTGATTACGGGTCTGCCACCTTTTAACGAAGCGAGTAAGGGAGACGCCTGGTACGACACCCTCCTGGATGGAAACTTGGCGCACTTTTGGGCGTCACAACCGGAAGAAGTGCTCCAAGCGATGACTCCAGGAGCGCAGGACCTCATTTCCTCGATGCTTGTCGCTCCAGATGAGCCACTTACGGTGTCGGAGGCTTTGCAGCATCCGTGGCTTCGAGGCGCAGACTGCGTGGATTCGTCGTTGATTCGCCACGCCGTGTCGACTCATCTAGAAGCGGCACTTGCTGCCAGCAAGATGGAGGTTGCCTGAAGCAGCCGATAGAATAGTTTAGCTAGAATCCCATCGATTCCAAATGTAAACTACGAATTGTTTCGCTCATCGGAAATGGCTAGAGTAAGTTGCACGCCTTTAAAGCGCCTTTGTGATATGTTCAGTATGCAAATGATGTTCCGACGACATTTCAATTGCCTACCGGTAGTATCGAAATCACTTGCAACAGCAAATGCAACGGAGCGAAAATGGCTTGATAATAGTTGCTCTGTATTTTTTACACACAAAATTGACCTCGTGACGTACACCAAAATGAGGCCCGGTGGGCGCAGCCACTGGTCGCATGGCTCTATACGACATGCATAATAAACAACGTGGCGGCACTGGCTTCCAGTTCAGCGCACCGAACGATAAATGCCGCTTCTTACGCGGTGCTGGTGCAGGCCGTCGAGCCCGTGTGCATGATCATCTGACGAAGCTTCTTGATCGTAGGCGAGGGCTGGCCGTGCATGATGTTGACAAATGGCTTCCTAAACTTGTTGGCGGAGACGGAGCGGCCCCGCACCGTCTTGAGCGTGTGCATCTGGAGCTGCAGCGTCTCCAGCTCTTCGGTTTGCGATATTTCACTCGAGTTGTCGAAGAACTTGACGTTCTCCTTCCAGTTCATACGGCGCCACAAGTGCAACGAGTTGGCCCACTCCTTCATAAGGTCATTTGTCGGAGCCGCGAACTCGGTTAAGCGTGGCTCCCCCAGCTTCATACGACGGCCCTCGACACGAACCACCGCAGCGACGGAGACTATAAAGCGATGCGGGAACTTGCCGGGCGTGGACTTCTCTACGCGCACTTTGGTCACGTGTCCAGCCAGCTCGAGCTCGCCTACAATCATACCTCCTTTCTCCGTGTAGTACTGGACTACGCCGTTCTCGAATACGCAGTAGATCAGTTGCTGCAAACACCACAATATCGTCAATAAAGGCGCACTACTACATGAGCGTTGCTTTGCTCGACACGTACCGGTGGGTCGTACGCACTGCGGCCACACTTGACGAGGTATCCCTCTCGGTACATGATGGTAAGGTAGCTTCTTGCTTGTGTGTGTGCGTGTGATATGTCGCTCGTCGCCAACTGGACAGTGACAAAGTAGTAATGCTCTCGGGTGGGTGTCCCTCACTCGTACCGGTATCTGTTGCCGTTTCAATCAGCCGTTGGCCTGGAAGAGCAAAAGTACGTGGCTCGGAGGCAAGAGGCCTGTCCCGGTATGTCTCTTGGACTGTTATAAAACAACGCAAATTGAGCTCTGTAACGGAGCCGTCGCCGTTTACTCCGCGCCGCTGCCGTGCTTTCCTGACGGCGCCGCTGAGCTTTTGCGTTCGACCACTTCTTCCACTCTGTTGCCGTCGATCATTCCTGATAGCAGGCAGATGGTGGACCGAATACAATTTCCTAGTGTCTGTGATGTCACGCATCCTTACGTACTAGCCCGAGGCCAGTCTCTATTCGCCCGATGCTTTCTCGCACCGAGCTGTCGTTTTTTGAGGAGCCAGACCGCACTTAAACGGAAAAACGTACCTACCCGAAATAAGTTCGATTCGCACTTGCTCGACAATGTACTGTACAAACCCTCTTCATCACGATACCCAGCGACTTCAACAGGCCCACCTGTCGAAAGCGATATCTCATTCAACGGGGCGATGTTGCGTCGACCAGGCGCAAGCGCTTTAGCTGATCGTGTAGCAAGTCACAGACCCAGCAATGTCTGACACTGATAAGACTCTCACGCTGCTGGACGTGGACAAGTTCGCGCGCTTCAGTAGCAGCACGTTCCGCTCCGACAAGTTCTACAAAACCATCGGCTATGGACTCGGCGCGATGGGCCACTTGATGGCGCACACGACGCAGCAGGAGACGGAGACGTCGAAAGGATTTAAAGCCATCGCCTCCAACATCTCTATGGCTCGCTACGTCATCCGCTTTACAGGCAGCTTGGAGTCGTACGCAGCCTGGAAGAACGGCTCGTGGTGTTACGGAGACGACAGCGACCATGTCAAACGCATCGTGAGTCTACAGGCGCTGTCTATGCTCGTGTACTACCCACTGGAGCACACATCCTACGTCGGCTTTGTGTGAGTAGAAGTCTGGAGTACTATGAGTTATAGCGCGTGAAGCCACGTTGACTGACATTCTGGTGGTCGTGCTGTATGTTGCAGAGCTCCAAAGTTGCTGAGTATTGACGCCATGAAGATCTCGCGACTGTCATGTCGGACGTGGGGCATCTACATTCTTCTAGATGTCTATGCCAATACTCTTCGGTACGTCAAAAGTGAGAGGAGGAAATGTGGATGCGGGGCTCACAGTGCATGACTGGCGATGTTGCTGACAGGATCTGCGCGCTGACTGCCAAGGAGAAGCAGATCAAGGAGCAGAGCGATCTTTCGGACGAGGAGGTAACAGCAGAGTCTGCTATATATGTTTGAAGGAACTTGTCTTATATTCTCCTTGTCTTCTCTCCAGCGTGCTACTCAACTAGCCGCCATCCAAGCTCGGTATATTGCATATTCACCTGCTTGTACTCAGGCGCACCAACTAAATCTTTTTGGTGGTTGTATGGCAGTCGTCGTGAGCTCTATTTTGTGCAGCTCCGTAACTTCTTCTACGCCGGACCTTGCATCCACTGGTGTCTCGAGAAGGGCTTCCTCCCTGGTACGTAGATTCTACGTTTTCTTTTTAAGAGCAATGACAGTCTCTTATCGATATCTCGATGGTGTGACTGTGATTAGACCATCTGGTGAGCCTCTCGTGTGCGGCGGAAGCTGCTGTCGGCCTTTGGCGCTCGTGGGTGAACACGCAGTAGTCGCCGTACCGCTTCAACCCATTTCTACCAAGTTATGGTACAGGTACTGTCAATTTGAAAGCGGAAACTGTACGACTCGTTAGTTTAAAAGCAGTTTTATTGCATACCGACACGACTGTCCTTCGTTCTCAACAAATTGTTGCACGACCATCTCAGTCCTTGCAACAAGGTGTTATACGCTAACGTTGTGCTGCGCCATGCTCATTTGACAAACTCCCACTTGTTTACCATCATCTTGGAGATGCACTGCAGAGCCTGCTTCTGCACCTCTGCGTTCTCATGCGTCATGAGCTTCATCGTCATCTTCTTAGCGCCAAGTCTCTTGGCAATGTGCTTGCCGTTCGGATAAAAGCGCACAAACTCTCCCAAGTCGAACAGAGCCACTGCCACCGTCTTTGGTTCGTCCGACTCCAACAAGTCGATCAACAAGCTGACGAACACAGCATCATTATTGTCAACAACTGTAGGCTACGATATCTTCTTCTTGACATCAACACACGTACCGAATCAGCTCGAAGTCCTTGTTCTCAAATGTCATAAAGTTGTCCTTCCAAAACTTGTCCGTGTGCAGCAAACCCCAGTTCAGCGTCCCCGTGCGTAGCTCCTTCTCGTAGCGTTCCATTGTGCTGCTCACCACCAGCAACAGGTCAGCTCGATTAAGCCTTCAGTGGGACAATGTACCAGTCCATACGTACTTCAACTCCTTGTACTCGCGGATAAGTACGTCACGGATAGCCTGGATCCCCTTGGCGATGTCTTCATCCGCCCACTTTCGCTCCCGCATGTTGTTCAGCGTCTTCAGCAGTCCACTGTCGATCATGCGTTCATTAAAGAACCCACTGAGCTTGCCAAGAAGGTTCTGCATATGATCCAATCGCAACAAATAGTTGCTTCACTAAGACGAGGCTTGTACACTGTGCCAGTGGATCGCACATACCTGAAGAGCTTCTAGAGCAACACGAACGACTTTTTCACGTGGTGCTGCGGCCACTTGCTGTACGATCGCATCCAATGCCTTCGCAGCCACGAACTTCTCCATTGCTTCGTCGCAGAACGCCAAGGTCCACAGGATGAACGTGAGCTGCAAAGACAAATACATAAGATTAGTATATTCTACTATCCATAACAGTAACGGCATGATACGGTTGGACTCACCTCATATGCCAGTTGCGCTCGGTTCTGCGAGCTCTCGAGCAAGTCTACCACACTGTAATATTAGAGTGAGTATTCATCAGCACCACGGTACTTGACAAACGTTTTAGCTTACGGTAGTACGCCACCCAGCTTGACAAATACCACACGAAGCTTCTCGTTGCGTAAAAGGACCATCAGGGAGGCAACCGCTGCACGTGTTACGTTCGCACGAGTTGAGTCGTTCGTCGATGTCGGTAGAGCACCAGTCTTCAGCGCCTGAATCTCCCATTGGCAAAGTGCCTCTGCATCTTCATGACGCGGACGGATCCTGAACTCAATACAGCAATTTAGCCCTCAGTTTATCAGCTTTGCGAGGACTTATACGACTACGCACGTGAGAAAGAGTGCAAGCAGGTGACTCGCTGCATACTGCAAGTAGCCGGTATCGTTGCGGATCATCCTCAAGAACGGCGCAGCGTCCACTGTACTACCTTCCGGGACGAAATAAACCATACGCTTGTGTAGACGCAGACCATCTAGAGACAGCGACAACAAGCAGCTGTGTCAATCGCGAGCAACGATAAATTATGGGTACAACCCGCTACGTACCAGGTAGCAGCTCTTCCATGCGGGCTAGACAGTACTTGAGTACCGTCGGCTCTGTCACATTCTTCACCAGTTTGAGCAGCGCACTGCCCACCAACGGACCAGCATCTGATACACGGCACAATAAGAAGAATCTAAGCTACCGGGAGTGTCTATCTACTTGAAATGAAACTGGACGCACCACTCATAAACTCATCCACGGCTTTGACCTAGCACCGCAAATTTTTTTATTAATTCTGCTAAAGACGCACAATAATTTTCAAAACTTCTTGTGCACTCACATTGGTCGTGTCGTCAGCGCCAGGCTTGATGGTTCCCTCAAGATCCATCAGTGCTGTGATTTCCGCCTTCTCCAGCGAAAAGCCACCAGCACTATTGAGACCATATTGCAAATAGACATCGAGTAAGTAAATTCGAATCGAAAAAAATGGGATCTGATAAACAGAACATACCGCGTGTAGGTGGCCCAATTGATGTCTCGGAAGCGGTGCAGAGCCTCCTCCCGAGCCAGCGCCACGTCGAGCGACCCGCTGCCCGTCATGTTGATGGCTACGTGACCCTTGCTATCCATCGCTTCGCCTTCTACTCTCAGTCTCTAGCGCTTGAAGCGATCCTTCCTGTGTAAGATCGAATGTTGTGTGTCCCACACTAACGTTTTTAGGCTCTTTAGAAATGAGCTTTGCACTTGAAACTTGAATTTTCCGTGCGTCATTTGCAAATTTGACGACACGAAGATGAGTGCTACGCTGTTTAAGAAGATCTTGTTTGTCCTGGGAGGCCCAGGTGCGGGCAAGGGCACGCAGTGCTTCAAGCTGGTGGAGAAGTACGGCTTCGTCCACTTGTCGGTGAGGAAAGCACTCTTCAAGACGCAAGTGCATCACAAGCTCTGACACCTTGATGTCATTTTTTGAATACTACTTAGGCTGGCGATCTGCTGCGCGAGGAGCGTCAGTCAGGCTCAGAGAATGGCGAGCTGATTGACCGCATGATTAAGGAAGGCCAGATCGTTCCCGTGAAGATCACGCTGAACTTGTTGCAGCAGGCTATGGTCAAGAGCGGCCGCGACCTGTTCCTCATTGACGGGTTCCCGCGCAACTTCGACAACCTGCAGGGCTGGCAGCAGGAGATGTCTGAGGATGAATTCCAGGTGCAGGGTGTGCTCTTCTACGACTGCACCGAGAGCGTCATGGAGGAGCGTCTGCTCGAACGTGGCAAGACCAGCGGACGCACGGACGACAACGCCGAGGCCATCCGTAAGCGCTTCCGTACGTACCTCGAGTCGACCATGCCCGTCATCATGCACTACGAGAAGCAGAGCAAGGTCTTCAAGGTGGATGCCACGCCCGGCCCAGACGAGGTCTTCGAGGCCACCGCCGCACTCATCGGACCCCTCGTTGCTGACAAGTAAACGTCATTCACAGCGAGCGGCATAAAGCAGCGCTCGTTATTGTCGAGTCCAGGACAGAAACAGTGTCAAGTTCCTTTTTATTTAGAAGGAAGGAACGATGCTATAATAAGGCAGACTTCAAACTGAAGGCAGATTTAAAAAATAAAAACTTCACTTGACCTTGTGCAGCTCTAATTACGCTCATATGATGGGACATTTCTGCGTCTGACGAACGTAGCAGATCATGCGGTATCACAGTTCCTATGATATGTCATGCATTTTCAATTACCATCTTGTCCATGAGCTTTGAGGAGAGCGTCACGTCCTTCTACGTGGCGTTCGCGGAGCAGCAGCTTGACCAGGTATGTCAGGCTCTGAGCGACATGCGTGTGTCAGCTAGTCGTGAATCGGATGGAGACCAGGAGGCTGCTGCTGTACGCGACGAGATGCTGCGAAGCTGCGAAGCCAAAGCGCAGAGTCTGCAAGACACGGCGCTCTCCCACCTGCAACAAGCTTGCGCGGGCTCCAACGTGGATGTGGACGCAGCACTGGCGGCCTTCGCTCGATGTGTCTTTCTGGGCGCTGCACGCGAGGCAGTATCCAAGTTTTCGAGCTGCTTGAGCGGCATTTTCGCCACTCAAGCGCGTGCGAGTCTTGACCGCGTGCGAGGCAGCAAACAGGCTGCCAAAGCTAATGAACATGGCTACATCGATCGAGCCTTCTACGTAAAATCTTTAAGCGAGCTGCTGACAGGAGCTACGGACATTATGAACGCCGTAGCAGACGTCACAGCGGACCCACAGGTGCTCAAGCAAGTACTGGAGCCGATTCACGTCTCGTGCGCTGAGATCGCGCTGCAAATGGTGCAAATGTACGCAGATGACGCTCGTATGGTCGCATGGGAACGTAGAGCCAATTCTCAGGCACAGAGAGACCCGAGACGCGTGCTGGAGGGGGATGAAGTGGAGGCGGATGAGAGTTTGCAAATGATCGACTTGTTTCTGGACGAACTGGCGTTTATTATCCGCGTATTAGTGAGCTATACTGCCTTCTTGGCTACAGTGTGTGAAGGGTTGGGACAGAAAGACGGCGGATTTCAAGTCAAGGTGCAGGAACTTAGCGGTGTGTACGTCGTGCTGGAGAGATTCTACGTGTTTCAGTCCGTCCATAAAGCCACGGCGATTGCTGAGCCTCAGGAGCTGGAACAGGGTGTCTATGTGTCAAGTGTCGTCGAGGACGTGTCCTTTGTACTCAATAAGGCGTTTTTTCGAGCCTCCCAATGGTGCGTCTGTCATAGTTTATATGGATATTAGCTGAGTTACTCATGGTATTTATGATGACAGTATGAATTATCATACTGCTCTCTCCATTGTGATTGCAATAGTGGATGCACTAGAGTCCCAGTACCTGCAAGCCATCTTGGTACTGCCGAGCCGACCGTGTGTGATTCCTCTGAGCTCCATTAACGCAGCAAGCGGTCAAGATGGCAACTCCATCGACGAGACTCAAGCTCAAAGCGAGGTGTCCTTCTCGGACATGCTTCTTCAAGCTGTGGACGAAGACTTAGAACGAACTCTGCAAGAGGAAGCAAGACCCATCATGACCATCAACTCGGCATTCGCGAGCGGCGAGTTCGTACGTGCACTCCAAGACAAAATCGACGAATTTTCCAGCGCGAGTTTCCCGACGGACGCTCCGATTCTCGAGTGTCTCCCGACGCCTATTCACGACATGACGGAGGCATTTCACTCCATTGTCTCCAACGAGATACAGGAGATGCTGTCACGAACTCTACACAAACGACTACCGCAGATTCTGAATCATTCGATGGATGAACAACTGCAATACGTGCTTACGTCAGCTCAGTACGACGCGCTCGGATCGCAGGGCTCTCCTTTGGTGCGCCTGGTGGAACGAGAGATCGTGACGAATCGAGAGCTGCAGCGGTACGAGCAAGCGCTGTGCAGAGCTCCCTTTGAGGATCTGGTTGAAGCAGCCACGCAATACTTAACTTCTTGTGTGGAGAAGGCGCTTCTCACGTCCAAGAAGCGCTGTAATGACTTAGGTGCACTGCAATTGGAGCGGGAAGTCACGGAAATGCTGACTCGCATGTCTACGCTTGTGCCGCAAAGAAGTCTTCGTGGGGCTTTCACGCGGCTCTTTCAAGTCGTGTTTGTGCTAAACTTGATGCAGCCATCTCATGTGCTGGACTACTTGGCGAGTTTGCGAGAAGAGTTTTCAGCGCAGGTTATTGAAACACTCTTGCGCATGCGCGTAGACTTCAAGAGCCAGGATATATCCCGTGCGATGGATCAAATCGTGAAGACGACCAAAAAGTCGACGAATATTTTGTAGATAAGGTTTTGCTGGACAAGATAGAACTTTGTGATCAAAATATGATGAGGAATATCCATGCTGGAGGCTTCTTTTCTTATGCATCATCTTCTGTCTACAATATCATCTACTACTACAGTTACTTCAAGTATTTTTATTTGGAAAATACGACACCTTTGTGCACTCAACCTCGTAGAAAACGGCAGTCAAACTCGTAACTTAAAAATTGGCAAATAGGAAAGTTACGGTAGAGCCCCTAATCTGCAATCAACCTCATACAGTCACACGGTGTGACTCCTATAACTGACCACTATCTCTAACTTGAATGTAGTATCTCAAAGCAAACGAGACTATATGGTGTTCATTATACTAGTCCCTCTAATTGACTAGAACCCTCTCTATTCGCTAAATGACAGTCAATTCGGGAGGTAAAACTCTCTATCTGGACAGGTGACCGCACCATATATCCTGTACTTTCATAAGTAATATATTGAGTTTCGCGTCAATTCGTAAGCGCTGACCACTTACCTTTTATCAAAAAGAAATATTCTTACTCGTATTTTGACAAAAGCTCACTATACAACGCCTTGCCATCCCGAGTTTCCAACAAATCGTAAGTGGAATCGTCTTACGATTATACGCTGTTCCAATTGGCCAAAAATGGATCTAAAACTACCCAAAAACCACTGTAAAATGAGTGAAGGAAGCGCGCAGCAGACCAGCGAAAGCGTGGCCTGCGGGATGGCTGTAGCTGACGTGGAGGCAATCCGAGATGCCTGCTTTACCAAGGAAACACGAGGGAAGTACAAGAGTAGCTTGAACGGCATTGCAAAGTGGATTCGCAAGGAGCTTGCTAAAGTCGACCACAACACGGATCGATTCTTCGACAGCAGTGGTGAACTTAATCTAATGGAGTTCACGCCTCCGTATTTTGAGCAGTTTCTTGTTTACAAAAGCCGTGATGTGAAAGCTGGGACACTAAGTGGTTATCGGAGTGCAATCAAGGACCTGTATAGAGTGAGGCGTCTAGCTTTGCCGCCTGAATATGGAGATGGAATGAAACAGCTTTTCTCGGGAATGAAGCGCATGGAGGCTGATAGTGACCAGATTAGTAGCCCGAAGACGTCAGGGAAGCAGCCATTGACCTACTCGCTTTACCAGAAACTCTGTAAAGAAACTTTGGAACTTGGTGATGGAGGTTTTTCTCATCTCTTCCTAATATCCCAATGGAATTTAACGTGCAGATCAATATCTGTTCAAACCGTACAAACTCAGCGTTTTGTGGCTAAAGACGATGGCATTGGTGTAATATTTGTCACGACAAAAACGAATCAGGAAGGCACTGGGCCGCGTGATTCTCGTCACGTTTACGCGAATCCGCTAAGTCCTTCTACGTGTTGGGTAACAGCGCTCGCAATTTACTTGGCGTGCCACCCGAGATTGCAGCAGGGGCCACTATTCCCAGGGTCCAACCAGAAGCTTCGATTTAGTAAGACTTTGGGTAGTCTTCTAAAACTCGATGGCTCCGCAAAAACCTATGGTACTCACTCGGTACGAAAAGGTGTCGCGACATTTGCGTGCGGTGGAAGTACTGGGGGTCCTTCCATTGTGAGTGTTTGTTTACGCTGTGGCTGCTCACTTGGTGGAGTTCAGGATCGCTATTTCCGCTACGAAGCAGCAGGAGACCAATTTTTAGGTCGCGTCGTTGCTGGGATGCCTATAAACGATTTAAAATTTGCTATACTACCGCCCCATTTTAAGTCCACCGGTGATAGCACAACAACATCAGTGATGAGAACAGTTTTTCCGAGTCTTGCGGATGAACCTAATTTAAATGGCATTTTACAGTTATGTCTGGCGTCGCTGGTTTTTCACAGGAAATAATTACAGCAGAATATACCAACAAACCACCCTCTGCTCTCGACAATAGTATTTACAAATGTGAACGTTTTTCACAGCCTACAAGAACAACTTCAACTTGGGGATTCGAGCTGAGTGCACCCGACAGGTATTCCGCCTTACATTGAGCTTTACAAAAAACTTGATAAGCAGCAGCAGTCTATCGACTTAATTCCTGATAAACTTGAGCAAAGAATGGAAGCGATATTGGAAAAGAAAGGTGTGTCAGCGGGTACTATAACGAGGGACCTTTTGCATGAAGAAATAAGAGCGTTATTAGAAGAGGTTGGGCTTCAAAAAGAGAAATCAGCGGCCTTATCAACTTTATCGACAGCACAAACTCGCTATTATCATACATGGGGTGGGAAATTTCACGTGCTTCCAAAAGACTTCGCCTTTCCAAGTATCGATCCGCTGGGGGCGTGGATACTGTGGTGGTTCGGCAATCCGGAGCTTAACTATCCACCATACAAGGGTATACCATCGGACGATCTGGACACGCCACAAAAGAAAGCAACACTGTCAGAGTGGTCAGTTATGATGCAGCATATCATAAACGGGATTGAAAAAGACCTTGGAAAACCGATGCCGGCCATCCGTGACGAAGTTCATGCCATCGAGCTGTTTAAGATTGGGTACAACACACTGGATTTAAAGCCAAGCAAACGAAAACGGAGAAATGCCCAAATCAAGCTCACCACAGTACTAAGACTCATCAGGGAAGCCGGCCAGGAGCAGAGAAGTCCGGATGGCATATGTGGGCGGCCACTTAGGCGCCGGAAGCGGCGCACGCGCCACAGCAATAGTACCTGTGCTACAGGGAACTCGTCAGTGCGTGATGAAGAGTAAACTTTCTAGTGCACGACTCAACGTTAAAATAACTGTTTTCACCCAATCAAAAGTCTCCCCCATAACGTCGGCGATTGCATCTTACGTTTTCTCAACTCAATTAAATCCTTCTCACTTTTAAATTCGAGCTGAATCCCGTCAATATTCCTTTTATAATCCCCGCTCGCACCATGACACCGCCACACTCAGCAGACATTGGCAACTATGAGCATAAAAGGAAAGAAACGCGATAAAGCTCGTATCACAATAGCATTCTGCTGTAATGCAACGGGTACGCACAAGTTAGACCCGGTCGTGATTGGCACAGTAGAAAACCCACGTTGTTTATTGGCGGGGGTGCTCGTGCGCTAAAAGGCAAGGCTGTTCAATGCTACAATAGCTAAAAAGCATGGATGACAGCCCGAATTTTCTCCGAGTGGGTACAAAGTCTCAACTTAAAGATGGCTGTTTAAAATCGCAAGGTCCTGCTGTTGATTGACAATGCCTCGAGTCACAAGATTACCCGGTCATATTCAAACATCGAGGTACGCTTTCTTCCTTCTAATCTAACGTCGTATGTCCAGCCTTTGGATCAGGGTGAGTTATATGAATCTGTGTAGTTACAGTACAACCAAGAAGATGACCCACCTGTACCTGCATCGACAGCCCTTGCTTATTGCGTGGAGCTTTCAACATTTCTATTTCAGTGCGAGGGGGACACTAACGACCAGCAGAGCATGCTGCAATCTTTGACAAAGCTAGTGCGAACGCAAGTGGTGAAGCGTAGGCGACAGCGGACACTCGATAGTTACTTTCAGTAAGATGGCTACATGTAGCCACTTCTCTATGTGACCAATTCTATAAATGAAAAGACATGTTTTCCCGAACCAATCGGGCGTCATTTATGGAGGTCTGACTGTACAAGATTTGCGCGACTGGTTCGCGCCAAAACGATAGGCTCTGCTCGACTCGCGCCAAAGCCCGATGTTTGTACAAATCGCTCAGAACGAAAGGAGATCTGATTCATTTGCTAACTTACCGTTTGTCTCCAAGATTCCTTCCCGAATCACGCCGCACACCCTCATCGAGAAACAGCGAATCCTTGAAGCCCATCGTGTCGGTCGAGAAGACTGGCTAGCCGTTGCTCATTTCAACGGCATTCCTGTGACTACTGCCTACGACATAGTACGGCGTGGGCGAAGGACATTCTCCCTCGGGGAGGCGCGAAGCACGTCAAGATAACGCCTGAAGCTAAGGTCCTCCTGGAGGAGTACCTGAATGATAACTGTACCTACACGCTGGGCAATGTTGTTTCTGGACTGTGGCGTTAAGGTGGACATGTCGACGATTAGCCGGTATCTGAAGGGCATGCTGTTTACCGTAAAACAAGTGAGAGTCGAGCCCACAACGTGTAATAGCGATAGAAACATTGAGGAACGACGTGTGTTTACCGTGAAATTAAAGGAGCATCAAGACGCAGGTAACTACATCATTTACTATGATGAAACTAACTACAATATCTATTTAAAGCGCTTGCGAGGACGATCTAGGCGAGGAGAAAGGGCCGTGCTTAGCCTTCCACCCTCCAAAGGGGCCAACCTCCAGACCCAATGTGCTATTTCGTCAAGCATTGGGCTGGTAACGTACCAAGTGAAACATGGCAGCATTCGCATGGAGAAGAATGCTGCCTTCGTCGAAGAGATTTACAAGGCGGTCAAGGCGTCGCAAGAGTTCCGCAATTTCTATCAAGGCAAAAAGATTGTCATCGTTCTTGATAATGCTCCTGCCCACCGACAGACGGAGGATCGCGTTACCGAGCACGAAGACATGGAGCTGCTACGCCCCCCCCCGTCCCGATAGAGGGTTGTTTCAGCGTGCTAAAGGCAAACATCAAAAGGAACTTAGCAATCGACCGCGAGGAAATTTGCGATCGCAGCCGTCAGCTGGACGAGAATGGAGACGTGATAACGCTCGCTGGAAGGCAGATGCGCGTTCTGGAGAGGGCTGCTAAGGCGGAAATGAAGTGTATGACATCGGTTCTGGTGTCTTGTATAGAGCTTCACTGTAGCAAGGCTGTCAGCGCTGCTGCTGAAGAAATACCTATGGTCTACGGTAAATAATCAATGAAGTTGATTGCAGTTTTTTTAACATTGAATACTGATTAGGGGCTCCTACCGTAATTTTCCTATTTGCCAATTTTTAAGTTACGAGTTTGACTGCCGTTTTCTACGAGGTTGAGTGCACAAAGGTGTAGTAGTATTAAATTGTGCTTCTTGATAGTTTCTCAATAGAACAATTCAGTGCGCTGTTGTGGGTGTGGCTGGCAGCGCGTTCCCTGTAGACATCGATGAAAGTAAGACGGTGGACCATTTAAAATCGACGACCAAGGTTGTGAAGCCGCTCACAATTTCAGTCGGAGCCGACCAGCCGCAAATCCGCCAGGCGAAGTCGGAAGGTGGCGAGTGGCTGACGCAAAATGACGCTCTGGTAGGTGTGAAGGACGCTAAGACCCGCAAGACGAGGTGTTATCATCCATTGGGCTGGCAGGTGGTGAATTGGGCGAACCGAGTGTTGTTGACCGTGCTGCTGGAAAAAGTCCTCTTCACGTACTGGTGGAGCTACCGAAACCGGAAGGGCCATCCATGAAAAGCAAACACACGGTTGCAACAATTGTTTCCTTGCCAAATATTACCCCGCTGGGGTGGAATGAATTGCTCGTCATTTCCTCGGTTGAGCAGCAGCTGGATCGACAGACTGACATACCTGGAACCTAGTCAGAAATCCTTTTGAATGTCAGGTCTTGTACATTCGAAAGGAGTATTGGGCCGTCCATACCAAAATTTATCGGACTCTCGGACCATCGGACCTGTACCTCAAAGCTGGTACAAAATGCAAAAACAAAAACCGAAATGCTCAGCTACTCTGTTCTTAACACTCACTGCCCCGCTGGGTTATTCAACATCTATAGATATTATGGACGCCAAATGGGACCTGCCATGGAAAATGAATTCAAGGGACTAAAACGTCAGCTTGCAACTACTCAAGCTCGGGGAAAGGGATCTATAAAGGTGGGGAAGGACCCGCTATCATTTGAGCTTTTTGAGTTTCTTTTCACCCACTTGATGGCGCTACCAGGGAGTGATGCAATTTTCGCGCGGGTGTACTTGATTATGTCGTGGAATCTCATGTGTCGCTCTGCAAATGCTTTCGGCATTAGGCATTCGCATATTGAGTGGCGTGGCGACGCGCTGCGAGTGTACTTTGCTCACATGAAATATGACCAGGGCGGTGATCGACCTCGTGACCCGCGTCACGTATACGCTAACCCACTGCATCCATCAATATACCCAGTCCTAGCACTAGGAATATACTGGGCAACATCTACATTTGATATGGAAAGCTGCCTGTTTCCAGGATCTGACCAGTATGAGCGGTTTCACAAGCGCTTACACCGTTTACTAGAAGATGACAAGGTCTAGTTAAAGAGACGAGGTGTGAATTCAAGTGATATTGGGACCCATTCAATGCGCAAAGGTGCTGCAACATATTGTACCTCAGGTTCAGCCGCCTGTCCGTCGTCTACAGCAGTGCACTTGCGTGCAGGGTGGTCTCTCGGCGGTGTACAGAACACCTATCTACGCTACGAAGCTGCAGGAGATATGCATGTCGGGAGAACTGTTGTTGGTCTACCATCGAATAGTCATGAGTTTGCAATTTTGCCTCCCCACTTTCAGCAGCAATATGAATGGGTTTGACGTGGAGTAACGAACATGTTTCAAGGGATCCCTGGGCACTTGTCGTTTGTAGGAGAGTTTGCCTTGCGTCGATAGTGTACCACATACCTTTCCTGCGAACGCATCTCCCGCCTTGTCACCCTCATTTTGAGACAGCGTTGTTTCAGGACGCTGAGCTTATCAAGAGCTTGATGGAGCGTGTGCATTGCGGATTTAGTGGACCTGACTCGAAGCTGAAAGCAACAGGACTTCCACCTCATGTAACTATATTAAGTCAGATAAAGGAGCTGCAAGGCCAGACATTGTTGAACATCAAAAAAATTGAAAAGGCCCCGATATCGTGAAGGATATCGTACATGAGCTAGAGGATCGAGCTATCGGTGCGCGCACAGTCACCTATGATGGATTGCATGATGCGCTGCGTAACTGTCTTGCAGGAGTAGGGATTCAAAACCTAGCCGATAAGAACAACGTGTCAGAGTCACGAGACCACCAAGCCCCAATTGATACAAGTGAGCGTGCAGCACCACCGACCTTCTTCTGGGCTGGAAAGTTTCGCCGTGTTCCCCCCGACTTCGTCCTCCCTGAGTGCTCCATTGCGCATCTGTGGGTGATCTGGCGGTGTGGAAACGACGAGAAGCAGCTGCCGCCTCTGTACTTACTAAGCTGTGTTGACCTGCCAAACAGAAACAGTCAAAAGCGACTCAGTGATGCTCGATATCTGATGAAGCAAATTGAGGCGTTCGCAGCGGCAAGCAACTTACTTCAGCCGAGACAAACCGAAGAGGAAGCCGTCAGAGTGTATGCTGCATGTGCTTAGCTGTCGAAGTGCCGGTTAGCACTACACACGCTAGAAAGCGACGGAGAGGGCAGTTATGGTGGGTCTCGATTGTCCGTCTGCACTGAATCGCCGATAAGACCGGTAGAAACACAGTGTAGCTATCTGTATATCATAGGGAGCACTGATTGGTCAATTTCAATGTCCAGACGTTGTCCTGCAAAATCCGTTCAAGAATCATTTTGCGACCAGGAGCCATGTGCTCTTAGTCTGATAAATTCAACAATGAGCCCCCGATTTTCGTGGCGGGGTTTCACTATTAAGAGCACCAACGACAGCCAGTTACAGATGTATGCACTTATTGGTCGATTTTCACCAACCCTATCCTGCCACCTAAAAATGTTTAGACTCGCACCCCACCTGTGACTCATAGCCTAGCAGAGCTCAAAACACACAAAACCGGCCCCGACAACTTGGCCTCTTAATTTTTTTCGCCCAGCTACGCAGACCTTCAGCTCGACCGCTCAAGCCCCACAGCTCAGGCTGTCGCTCCTCAGCCCCCCCCCCTCCTCCACATCCCCCCCCCTCACCCAACGACGACGTAGCTCAGTGGAAGGGCACAGGGCTATGCCTTGAGGACGCTGGTTCAAATCCAGCCGTCGCCATCTTTTTGCTTGTGAGGTGGAGGCTCGTCACGGGCTAGTGGCTGAAGGCGTGGTGCTCTACCTGATTGGGTATCTGGGTTAAGTATGATGTGGTTACGCTGTGTGCGTTATGGCAAACGTGTATGATGAAAATGCTAGCTATGCGCTCCTGTTGCTAATCCTTAGCTTCTAAAACGTCTTGGGTGTAGCCAGGAGCGGGGTCGCGAATGGCCGCAGACTGGAGGAGTTTCTAGTGGCGCTTGATTCTGTCGTTTAGGTCTCCCTTACTGTGAAGAGCCTGCAAGTGCTTAAGGACGGCGCTCGACCCACGCAAGCTGATCTTCTTCTCGCCACCCAGAAAAGTTAAGTACGGCTTTCTCTGCTTTCTTGCCCACCTCAAGAACACAGTTACGATAGTCGTCAGCATCTTGGTCAAGAACAAAGCCGTCTTCAAGAAAAATCTTCATGAAGGCCACCAGCAACTTCGCTCTCGACCGTTTTTGTTTTGGCCCCAGTGCGTACCAGCGTGGATCTTGAGCGTTCCACGCAAACCAGGTAGCATAAAGGTGAGTTGGAGATCCCCGGTGTTGTTTCTTGCTTAGCGGGCTAACGTCATCTGTGCCTTCCTCTAAATAGCTTCGTTTTCTTGGTGTAGGTTCGCTGTTTTCTTAGTTTTGAGTGCATCTATGCGAGCGTCCTGTCGCTTGATGTGCTTCATTAAGTGCTTAATCACGGCCGCTTGGTGGTCGATGGTCTTCTGGTTCTCGCTTGATTCTCTTGGCTGTCCATCGTCGTTGTGGGTGGCTGCATTACTTGCCTTGATGTCTTCACAGGTAGTGGATGAGGTTACCAGGTGCAAGGACCACGCAAGCAGCTCGGCTGGTGAGCATCCAGCGTGATCAACAGCCGCTTCGATGCGCTTCACAGCTGGACTTGTGGGGTTCAGGTCTTTGAGTAGCGTGAAGTGACGGAAGACGCGTGCGGTGAGGACACCCATTACCTTCTTGTTGATGTTTAGGCTGTCGGTCTTGAGCTCAAAGCAGGTAGCAAACAGGACACGCTGCATTCGATCCATCGCTTCACGCGTCTGCGTGTCAAAGCTAGTCAAGTCTTGCAGCGGCACCGCGGTTCTGGGTTTGTATCCGCTGAGTACTTTCGCTATCTTGTGGTCTTCTTTGCTTGTATTGAAAATGTAATTGAACCCTTTGTTCGTCGTGCTTAGATTTCAAGAGCCTCTGTTAAAGATCCAGCGTGCAGTCATCTCGTCGCAGCCGTTTGCGTGCTGAGCGCCTCCTCTTCGAAACGAGTGCGTAGTCAAGGCGACATCCACACCAGCAGCAGACGCTACACGTTCTATCACCCGGTTAACGTACGCGTATACTGTAGAGGCTGTGGCAACGCGCGGCGGAGCTGCTGGAGCGGCAAGACCAGCTGTGACTTGAGGAGAGTTGAGCAGCTCGATTAGCGGGACGTCGGGAGAAAGCGTGGAGCTTGCGAAGCCTGCTTGTTCTGGGAGGTTGCTGACGAGGGCTGGGCCTGGGGCGACTTGGAGGATCAAGGCGAGCGCAATGGAGAGCAAGGGGCACGTAGTCAATTCCGTATCAGGAACGAGCGACAGCCCCTGCTCCTCAGATGTATTCGCGCGAACCAAGCGCAGGAAGAAGACGTCGCCTGCGTCTACTGACATGTTGTGTTTACGTACCATGGCTAAGTCAGACGCACGACCGAACAAGTACCAGAGAAGACATAGTAAAGTTGCATCGTGATAGTCACTTTCTGAGCTAGCATAAGTGTACAAATACAACATCATTCTTTTCAGATCATCTTTCGTACAAGGTGGTGCTTTCGCTACGAGCCCACCACCATCTCGCTTCAGACAGAAGCTATCTAGTGTCTTTCCCATTTTCAGCAACCGGGCTTCCGATAAAGCTTGGTGCTTAGGGAACGGATCGAGCAGCCAGAGCTTGGCTTGCCGATAGTACTGCATGTCAGTGTTGCGAGCTATTGGTTTATCTATCTTTCCTTCCTTAAATGCAAGATACATACCAAATTTATCCATCACACGCACGAACATTTTTTCCGCTCTCGTCACTATCAATGCACTTCCTTATGTATTCCTGTTCAACTTCCTCTTCTTTGAGGAATTTGACGAACGCTTCGGTGGCTGTTGCCTTAGCCTGCAAGGTGTTACCAGGCTGTAGTTCGTCTAAGCCCATGTCACTGGTCCACTGATCCGATAAAAGCAAAATATGCAAGTGATATATCAATGACTTAGAGTTTGGATAGGCATACACATATTTTGCGTATCAATCGGACGTGATACGTCCGATCGACTAACGTAGAGGACTCGCCTACCCCTATTCAATTTGATTGGTTAAATAACATTATCATCTTGAAAGTTATTGGTTAGTACCACAGCAAAATTATCTCATTGGCTGTAAGATACCATTACAAATTTAAGTGAGGTCCGATAAAACTTCATATTCTACCATACGATGATCGAGATGCAATTATAATAGCGTCGGATAAAACGACACGCAGAGGTCTTGTGGTTGGGAGTCCAGGGACTATTTTTGCTGCTTGTGTTCATGACGGAGAAAACAGTTATTGCCTACTGCCCTTTGGGTGAATCTTCAGTCTACTTCTTTAATTGAAGCCAGGCAAACGGCTACGAAATATCTCGGACACCGCTTGCTACGGTAACATACGAGGGATTGTTTGATGGTAACGGCGACGGGGAAGCACTGGACATGGTTTTGTTTGGCCATGCGTATGTGTCCGCTAGCCCTCACACTGGCAATTACAACAATTTTGTGAAGAAGGATTGTTTCACTGTGTGGATGAATCCATGAACCAGAACGGAGTGTTAGAGTTTTGCCGACATAACTGACTGGAGTAATCAAGACGGTTGGTTCAGGAGATTTAATATCGTTGGTGGCAAACCAAGATTCCTGTTTTCGTCATCGCGTTCGTGTGACGATTTGCTCAAAGATCTGAAGATCGCAGTTCCACAAAGTTTGGAGGAGCTGAAAACCCAGTGGCTAAATTTTATGGGAGGTAATGTCGATGATAAGATGAAGCACCTTGCGATCTAGTGATATCGGGATAAGAATTCGCCTAGCCGTTGTCAGTTGACTTATTCTTCGTTGGCAGTGGAGGCTATTGCCAGCTCACGCTACACAATTCAAGCAGTCGATGCAATTCGCTCGCAGTTGCAAACACCAGCAGGCAATGTGCAGTCGTGGCGTGGAAAAGAAGTGGAGACAATACTGCTGCAAGACCTTGCGACCAATACGTTTCGTATGAGACCACTCGAACGGGTTAAATATGTACCACGTTAGCAGTTTGACCCAATCTATGCGTCATCAAGGATCATCCAAGCGGTATCCGAGTGTGAGAACGAGTTTGTGCTGTATATCCCCCTTTCCAATACAGTTCTAGCGATAGATGTTGCACTTGTTGTGCCAGGTCAGAAGCTTATCGTCTATGATCAGTCGACAGTGGCTGAAGCGCATCCCATCAAGCATGAACCCTTGAAAAAGGTGTATGACGCCTTGATAGCTGAAAAACCGTTTCCGGGTTATACGCACATCCTTCTCTTCATCGTTGATAGCGACATTTACGACGCTTTCAAGGCTCGACCATACAAAAACGCGGATAACAAGAACCACACAGCTAAAAAAAGAATTCAGTATAACGCAGTTCCTCGGAACGATCGTTAAGCAGTAAAACGGAGAGAGTTACAGTTCGCGAGGTCGACTTTAATGTTGTAACGTGTCTGATCTAGCCCTGCACGCCGAGCTTTGGTCGTCCAGTGCCGATAGGTCCAAGAATCCGCTGGCTATCGGTAGGAACTTCCCCTACCCCGCCGGTGTGTATCGTACTGACACACGACCTATTTGTATTTCTGTTTCTGTCTCTGTCCCATGTAATCTGTAACTAGTTATTAATAGCTAGGCCAGTCACTAGATCTACCGTTCGTCCGTCTACATATTCGTTCGTTCGTTCGTTCCATCGCCGTTCAGTTCGAGTCGCCACTTGGCAATCCACTTGGACTCAACACCTCGTGTGCGTCGCCCTACTTAGCCCAGCCGCCAAGAGACACAGAGACCGTTGCCTCCTGCTCGCCCTGTCCGCCGTTCGTCTACGTCCGTCCAGGTCCAGTAATCGTTCACCGTTGTGTCCGAGCACCAGCCTTTCACCGTTCGTCGTTCCGTCCGTTGTTCGTCCGCTTGTTGTCGCTGATTGGGGTTCCGTTGCGTCCCCAGGCTCCGTGCTCTTACTAGAGATCTAATGCGCTGCT